TTTGCTGCTCGATGTGTCCTCATTACTCTCTTTAACGCCTACATTATAAAGCACTGGTCCAAGTACACAGCGTAACATGGCATCTAGTTTTAAGCATGCCGAATGGGATAGAGGGTTTTGGACTTCATGTAAAAATTGTGTGCCCAAGATTAAGATTATCCAAATCTAAGATTTGAGTGCATAAATTCATACAGTAAATGTTGATGTGGTCTCTTGAGTCGTTAACAACTTTAACACACTTTTAAAAATGTTACAGTAACATTTAAACATTGCCCTGAAGTTTTGAAAATACGGATGTCTTTTTGACTAGTTCCGAGATTAATTATGCTGCTTGTAAAGGGTTCCTAAAGTCATTATCTTTCATTCTCATCTTGCTCAAACATACTCCTTGGTGCTGCTAGGAGGTCTGGAGATGGGGTACTTTGGTGTAGATTTGCCTCTTGGGCAAGAAGCTGCCAGCATGCCACCCCCAATAACAACCAAGAAGGCTCCAGCCCAGGCAATGAAGATGGCCGACCCGAACTCATACCTTCAAAAAGAACACAAACTAGTCATGAAGGGGAAGCAGAGTATGTGACCCCTCCCCCACACACTTCTCTCAATCAGATTATCACATGATTAGATTTTAAACATGAACTGAGGAAACCAAATTACAATTATCCTGAATTGGCATGTACTCACTTGGTGTTGACTGGAGTGAAAGGGTTGTAGAAGGCTTGGATGATATCGTGAGCATACCAAGAGCAGGCAATAATGGCGCACAAAGCTGTGGGTAACCAAAGAATGTAGTCAACAAGGTTTTGTATATGTGTGTGTACATGCATGTGGCTGTGCGTATAACCCCTTACCTCCAATCAGTAAGATAATGCCGCCTGTCATGGCAATGCGAGACTTGCGTGTTTTATCATCTCCGCCACAGTTGGTGCACTTCATCCCCATGCAGGCTGCGCCCAGGCCGGCCACCGTTACGATAATGCTCACAATCATGAGTGCGCGTGTTGCCTGGAGGGCACCTGAGTGAAAAGGACACGATTGTTTTAGGGGTTAAGAGTATCCAGTGATACACACAATGCCTGTTGCCCAAAAAAAAAAAAAAACATGCAGGCTGCGCCCAGGCCGGCCACCGTTACGATAATGCTCACAATCATGAGTGCGCGTGTTGCCTGGAGGGCACCTGAGTGAAAAGGACACGATTGTTTTAGGTGTTAAGAGTATCCAGTGATATACACAATGCCTGTTGCCCAAAAAAAAAAGAAAAAAAACAGTCAAATTCAAAGCCCCTGTGATGACCTTTCATAATTTGTGGATTTGATTTTTTTTTGTTCCAGCTGCAGGAAAAGGTATTCAAGCAAACAAATGGACTTCAGTTGCTTGCTCCCGCCAACCCATATTGGAGTGGGGGCGGGGGAGGGTGGACCTCAGGTGTGCATGAGCAACTCAAACAGGTCTGACCAGGTTTCAGGTTGCATCATGGAGGACACTCTGAATTTCACATACTGGCTACAGGTTAACATTTTAGGCTTGTGACCTCTGTACACAAAGAGCCTCTCTGTGCATTCAGGCATGCGGTGTTTCTGCATTTAGTTCCTTGAGTTGGTATTTTTGAACATCATTATTGACTCGCCACTTGATTTCTGAGCCGAACTTTACTCGACCAATGTTTATCAAAGGTGGGTGCACATATTTGTAAAGATTGTGAAAATGTCGCAAACTAAGGTGAACAGGCCCTGCAACGGTACAATGACGAGCAATAAAATAACTGACCCATTTAGCCCCCGTTTTTAAAACACCGTCAGACAGATAACAACCATAAAACGCAGTTAACGGGGCCAATTTCAATGCACTTTGTTTCACATTGTACATGCATGCATGGCCACTTCCTTGAACTGACTGCTACAGCAAAGTGAGGCCACCAGTCTTTTTTTCCAACCAGATGACTCGGAACCATTTTAAAACAGCATGCATGCGAGTGATTTCGAGCGTGCGTGCGGTAGTGAATAGAGGGTTTAGAAATACGGTTCAAGACAACAAGCTGTACAAATATTGAACATTCAAATCTCCTCTGCTTTGTCATGGACCCCGTACAGTACACCAATTCGTATTAGTGAGGGGAATTAGTCTTTTTTTCTTTTTAAACGACGTTCTTATTCTTTCGTCGGGGAGCAGAGTCAATAAGTGACTAAACCGGTTAGGACGAGCAACAGGAACCAGAGTGCAGTTTACAGTGGTAAAAACAGGGGGCAGGTATAACGGTGGCTTAAGGACTCGGTCGGTGACTTCCCCATTACAGGTGTGGTTCATTTGCTTTTGTTCCGGTTCCTCGTATGGTCACATTTAAGTCAAATTAGCTGGCTTATAAAATCAGTTTCGCCAAGACAATAAATGTCTCATCGAATGGAAGAGTATTTTATTTTAAAACAGTGTATTAAGTATGAATACCAGCGGAATAACACTCAGTAATGAGTTGTATGACTTACTGTTGAGCTGGAGGATGGAGTCGTAGACTTTGCATTGGATCTGGCCTGTGCTTTGGAAGGCACAAGACATCCAAAGGCCTTCGTACATAGCCACTGCTGTGATGATGTTATCCCCGACATAGGCCGACATCTTCCACTGGGGCAGAATTGTGCCCACTACCAAGCCAATTAAGCCCAGAAGCGACAGGACGAATCCCAACATCTGCAAACCGGAGTTGGCCATTTTCTCTTCTTGCTCTTCGACGACGACCTGACTTCAAAAATGGGGGAGGCGACGTCCACCTGTTCAAAATCTCACACCTCGTCTAACTCGAAAGGTAAAAGAATAAAAAATAGTAATCCTGTCTTATTTTAAATTATGTAAAAACAATTTGTTCCAGTTATTCTTAAAAAGTGTTAATAAAATGTTTCCAATGGCGGTATTGATTTGGCCGACGATGTCACCTTGAGCACCTGTTGCTTTGCCGCACCTTTAATGGGGAGGGGACAACGGGAGCGAGCTTTTAGGCAGTTTCTGTTGCCGGTGGGCGGGTACGCGCACGCCTTCAGTTTCATGACGTAAGTATTTCCGGGAAAATCTTGCCACACCACAAACGCGATACTGCAGTGCAGGCCGAGGTTCGGGGCGGGGAATTTCTTTCAGGTGTTTTAATATTTATATTTAAAACAAACAAAAAATGAAACAAACACTTTTTTTTAGGAATCACCTTGGTATTTTTTATTCATTATTTTCACTTTCGCCCTGTATGATCACCAATCTGGTTGAAGTCTGTGTTAACAATGTCAATCAAAAAAAATACCAACTTGTGTTCTAAATATTGCCTTTTTTTCTTGTTTTCCCCAAATATTAAAAAATGACTTGGGCATCTTTGATATGTGGATGACGATATTTAAGGTAATAATCATTTATTTAAGTGGGGACCTAATTTGACATCTTCATGTGAAAGACCACCTTTCTGTCATTTACTTTGTATTTCCTCAGCAAACTTGTGTCATTCAATTTGTATTTATTTCAAAGTTAAACACAACACAGGCAAAAAGGCATTGGAATTTTGGCCTCTTCTGTCTACATTGATACTGACGACTAGACTTTTCCCACTCGCTCTCTGAGTCACACTTCAGAGGCGGGCTAAAATTTTGTTTGTCAACTGTCACAACTATGATGACGAACAGAATTACTTAGAGAGAAAAAAACTGAAACCATTACAAAGCGGATGATTCAGACTGTTTACTATTTCAAGGGTTGTGACTTTTCTAGGTCTAGTCTGGGTGCTGCTGCTATTCTGATTACTGTAGTGGCAATTAACACTATTAAGATTAATGTGTGCTGAATATTTAATTTTTCATGAAGTGATTCACCCTCTTTGACATATAATTTGAACATCAAAGCATTTCCTAGCACAAACGTCCCAAAATAATGACGTGAATTAGCTTAAGTATCAAAGAAAATTCTGCTAATACTGGGCAAAGGTTTTGTAATTAAGATTCCCTCATCTGCCAATGACTCATCACCTGAATGAATCTTTGTAGCAGAGGTTATATCTGGATCTGAACTGGAGCAAAAGGGTCTTAAGTACAGTGGCAAGTAAGTGTTGGACTTATAAATACAACAAAACACTGACCAAGTTAAATCTGAGTCTCAAACAGAAAGCTCAGCATAAGTAAAAAATTTAAATGTATCATAGTGCCCAAAAAACTTTTTATTCTTCCTCGCATCTGTTGAAAATTTGTGAATTTGAGAGCTATATTTGGCCAAACTCTTTAATCCTTATGAATAGCCGTATTCTGTCTGAGCTCAGACGGCTTTGCTTTACACACTTTAACTGAGAATTATATCTTGTCTTGCTACTGTAGAACTACACAAATGTTCAGATTTGAGGTGCTCTGTCTTGAGGGATCAGAGTCGTAAAGAGAAAGTGGTTTTTATTATTATTATAATTTTTTCTAATTATATATATATTTTTTAATTCAACTCTGACTTAGTTAGGGACATCTGAAAGGGGAATGTGTTTTGAAAGCCAGTGTCAATGTGGAACCCATGCACAGTAATCTACCGGATCGGATGCTGCTCAGCTTGATCATGAATATGAGTTGTAAGTTAATTAGTCTAATCCGTGCTACATGAGCTATCCATTTAGCATGGTAATCATTCTGACATTTTACTGCCTAATCGACTGCTGGGCTGTGAACTGGTTGTAATTGCATCTATTCATCCATCTGATACATTCTGGGTTAATCCTGGCTCTTTAAAAAGACAGTTGACTTGGCTACAGATAGATATTTTGAAAGCAGAGGTTTGATTTTATGTTTCCACTTTCAACACGCCAATGCTGTACTGTTGAATTTGATATTTCCACTTTCAACACGCCAATGCTGTACTGTTGAAGAAATACGAAATCTACAACTGAGACTTTTGTGACACACGATATGGAGTTGTTTTGGAAAATAAGGCAGATGATTTTGAACTTTGGCCTCATGGTGAAGTGGTGGTTGGCAATTTAACACATTTGCCACACAGTCACGTCCAAATCTTGGCTCAGGCCCTCCTGTCATGTGGACTTGAACTTGCGTGCATTGTAGGTTGGTTATCCATCGATCTATCCATCCATCCATCATCCATCCATCCTCTGTACGGCTTGTTCATCAGGGTTGTGGGTTTGCTCAAGTTTGAACCAGTAGAGCATTGTTTTTTCTGCCACCTTGTGGAAGTTGATGCACATTGCAGTCATGGAGTCCACAAGATGGCTGACGTCTCTGCTTAAGTTCAGGTAGGCTGCATAAACTTTAGTTTGAATTGACTGTTTATTATTGCGACAGCGCTTCTGCAATTTACTCTCAAATGCACGATTTGCACATCGTTTGGTAACATGAATATGTTACGCATGGTACGACACGAAAACGTTCATGCCAAGCGGAAAGACAAGATTGCATGTTTAGTGTGTGCCTGTGTGATTTGTGATTTGTGCTTGTGTGTGTGTGTGTGTGTGTGTGTGTGTGTGTGTGTGTGTGTGTGTGTGTGTGTGTGTGCGTGTGTTTGTGGTGTGGGGGCAGGGTGTGGTGTTAATGACAAAAAAACTAACAGCACTGCTTACAACAATACAAATATATTATGTTTTATTGAATATTTTTCCAGAATAGCAGATCTCCTCTCAATTCAGGAATAGGAGTTGTAGAAATATGCACAGGTGTGATGGAACATCAGGTTACTGGAGAGGGTAAATCGAGGGCTTGTGTCTGTTGATACTGAGAGGGAGGCATCCCCAGAGTTGTTAAACCAAAAAAAAAAAAAAAAGGAATAGGAGTTGTAGAAATATGCACAGGTGTGATGGAACATCAGGTTACTGGAGAGGGTAAATCGAGGGCTTGTGTCTGTTGATACTGAGAGGGAAGCATCCCCAGAGTTGTTAAACCAAAAAAAAAAACCAAAACAAAAAATCATTCATCATTTTAGACATTTAGTAATTATTATTGCAGATCAGAGATTGCCATACATAGCAAATCCATTGCAGTTCAGTCCCTTGTTGAATTTTTCATGTCCTTGATTTCAAACTGGTAAAAAGTTCCATTGCATATTGCTGGTTTTCATTCCTATGGAATAGTAAAAAAAAAAAAAGCCAGTTTTTGTTAATTTGGCTCTTTTGGAGTCCACTGCGTGTCTAAATCCATAGGTGCCTGCAGATCCAGACCATCTCTCTTTGGCCACTCAGTCCCAATGCCCATGTTCCTTTATGGCTTTAAATCAGCTCTTCTTTTTCTGAAAACGTCAGTTTTTTGTTGTTGTTGTTTTTTTTAATTTCTGGAAGACAGGAAGACTGACTTGAGAGTCAGACACCCAGAGTTCGGGATAGGGTGGGGGGGCTTGAGAGAGAGAGAGAGAGAGAGAGAGAGAGAGAGAGAAAGAGAGAGAGTTTAAGTCGTTTGAGGGAACTTTTTGGAAGACGTGCGTGACCAGAACTGTGAGCCCACAAAGGTCATAGTTCTTTTTTGACAGAGCACATGTGAGCTTTGGTCGTTTTTTCCACTCTCTGTGTTTTCACTTGAGTACATCTTTCACAAACCAAACACATAACTTAGTCACATAGTAGAATTCTGCTGGGATGAAGGTCACACAAGGGAGGCGGGCTCATCTTTAAAAAGATGCAGCAGTGCTAACAAAAGCCAAAAACAGACCCAAAAGAGATCATATTTGAAGAGGGAGAACCGCTCTGCTTTGTTTGAGGACTTTGCATTGGAAATTAAACACAACTAATCAAAAACGGACAACACGCATTGAGAGCTATAAACAGAATTAAATGGACTTGACATATAGTACACCATTCATATGTATAATCGACATAGCATACGTTACGTATGATAGAACTCTGACACAGTCACATTTTTATAATAAAGCACACGGCTAAATAGCTTATAAAGACCACAGAATCTCTCCATTTGTTGTCAGAATGACTCTATTGAAATAAAATTTGCAAAACTGCAAGTGTGAGATCAAGGGCGGCAAAGCATTTTTTTAAATAAAGATGGTTCATTGCAAATTAAGAAGCCCTGGGAAAATGATGAAGAGTTGTTACTATCAACAGTCATAATCCGTGTTCATATTCTGCTTTCCCACCGCAGTGAATAGAATTCGCGACTCATCCTTACCATTTGCATAAATTTGGGAAAACAAAACATCTTTGTGGAACCTTGAACTAATAATCACTCAAAATAAATCAACCTCCTTCTCAAACAGAATGATCATTTTGTCACCTGGTTGATGAATTGAATTTATACCTCAGTCAGTCGTTCTAAAGTTTCCAGTTTGCATGTAATGCATATGTAAAAGTTACTCTTAAACATACTGATTGTCACATGCAAGTAAATAGCCTTTGTGTTGTCAGTGACAAATTATTCCGTGGGGGTGTAAAAGAGAAATTATTTTGGAGTACTGTATTGCAAATAATATGCTGAAAAGGCTATCATAACCAATCAAGCATAAATCAATTTAAAATGAAATGCAAATGTTATTTTCAAATTTAATAAGTCTCGAGTTCTTCCCACTCCCCTTTGAGGATGGACAATTTTGTGAGGTGCACTTGGGCTAATTTTGCTTGTTTGTTGCCCTTGGTATTATTTTCATTTATACTTTTGTTGTTTTGGTTTTTCTTCATGTTCAAATAATCATTCATCCATTCACATTTGATCCAAGATTCCGAAATTACATCATAGCGCGGTTTTGAACACCAACTGAAGTGGTGGCTTTGGAAACAAATAACAATTTCCAATAGAGGGAGCTAGTTGTACACAGATGTTTCCCTAATCTGATGTCCATGTTTTCAACATGCATGTGTTGCAAACAAAAAGAACATGCAGATACTGCACTGTTGGTGCTGATATCCTGCCTGCTTTTGCAATGAACTGAGGCAAAAGAGACATTTTGTGTTTTGGAGGGTAATAGTGCGACAGCGATGTGACTCAAACACCTTCTTGTTGTGAGTTTTTTTGTTTTGTTTTTTGTTTTTATATTTGTTTTATAAAGCGCTGTGTTACAGCTGCGGCTGTTGCGAAAGCACTATATTAATATAGATGTATTGTATTGTATCTTGGAATGGACTTAATTTCTGCTGCGATTTTTTTTTTTTTTAAATGCTGTGATTAGTGACAGCAATCCAGGTCCCCGATGAAAATCTTATTTCCTTATTGAAATCATTGAACGCGGTTTATGCAGTGATTTGCATTGACCACTGCAGTTGAAAAGTCCATCAACTCAATAGTTCCTCACAACTACTCGGACAAGCAGTTTCATATTCTTTGTTGTCCGTAAGCCTCGTGAGTTTGTGGGTTGTTGTCTTTTGGGATAGTCGGTTAATGTTTTAATGTTTCAAGCAATGTCCAGGCCTTGCATAGTCAATTCCTCTAAAAAGGAATCCGAGTGGGCGGGGCTTTATTTGAAGAATTTTGCCTCAATTTATATGTAATTCCTAAAAGAGAATCTGTCTGGCCATGCTTTTTTTTTCTAAACCAGAGGATACAGGTCAGCAGGAGAGGAGTGTCTTGATAATTGCTCTGCAGAAACAAGAAAGTGTGTTTTCCACACAGCTGGCCTCTGAGTTGTTTGTGAACCAATGGATTTTGCTGTCTCTGCCAGACCTTCAAGTAATTTTTGCAGCCATCACAAGTCTCTTGTTTGTGTTTCATCGAGTCTATCGATCATTGTTTCCCATGCCCTTTGTTTCGCTCCTCCGCTCTGTCTTGCCCTGCCCAATTCTTAATCAACGGCGCGCGTGCACACACTTTACAAACACGTGTTTAAGCGTTTTTTTCCTGAATTGCTCCACATTCTTACAACTTACTGTTTTCTTTTCTTTTTTTACATTTTTACTTCCAAACAAAGTCATTCTTTACTTAACATTCAAAAACTGCCTTTTTTTTTTAAACATTCTTTTTTTCCTGTCTGTCTACATGTTGTATTGCTGTCTTGACAACTTGCGTGGGCATTCTTCAGCATTAGGGGCTTCTTTCAGTGCTTTATAAAGAGGGTAAGGGTATGAATGTCTGATATTTTGAAATAGAAAGTCATAAATTTTGCCATCTTCGTTCGGATGACAGCTAAATAAACCTATTCCATACTCCCTACTCTCACCTTGAAATCATACAGTACTTAAAATTATTGCTACGCGGGGACTGAGGAGGGATCATTTGCGTTTTCCTTTTGTATTCCGCACCGATGACAAAGCACACGTTTGGGGACACAAATTGCCCTTGAAACTCACAAAAAAAAAACAAAAAAAAACAGAGGACTTCATTTAAAATATGCAATTCATTCCATCCATAGCCTTCGTGTCATAAATAACTCACTGTGCCAAGCGTGCTCCATTATCATATCAACATGCCTCATCCGTCTCTGGCAAACGTTTTGCATATTTTACGGTAGAAATTCGATATCAGGATTCCTCAAGAATCTAAGTGGCCTTTCGTTGTCAACAGCGTACGTTGTGCATCTACTGTATGGATGCATTTATATGTATTTTTTTCCGTCCTGTTCTTTACAGTCTAGCATTCAATTCCAGACTGTGTACATAACAATTGTTAAGGCCTCCAAGTGACTTTCTGTTAAAAGATTATCGGCCCTAATTGCAACAAAATCTAGGAGACCATTGCACAAAAACAATGTCAAGGTTTGCCATCGCCCAATCTGGAAATGTGTTGAATATATATTACAATGCATTCAAACATCTATTGCCACAGAGAGTCACAGGAGTCTATTGTCATTATTTCCAAGAGGAAACTCAAATTAGCTTAAAAAAAAATAAAAAAAATGTGGCGCACTGCTTTTTGTATAAAACCCAACTGAATTTTTGTTAGGACAACCGCAAATGTTATTTATTTTTTAATATTTATTTACTGAGTCGTTTATGTATTTTTTGCGTATTTAGCCATGATTATATTGCCATTTACATTTCTCTCTACCATGTGGTGCATGTTTGCTGGTGATATCCAAGCGCATGATGAAACGTTGTAGCTATCTTTTGTCCCGAGGTAGATTGCATGAGTGACGTTCCCTCTTGGAATTCCAGATTGACGCGAGGTCATTGCATATCGGTTGTAAAATTGTCTCTATTTCTTTTTTTTAGAGAGCCAAATATAAAACCTGAAAACAGGATACGAGCGGATCACCTTCTTTGTGACTCGGTTCATAAAAGACTCTTATTCTCCTACAGACAGCGTTGCGTTCTTTTCCGAATGACGCGGTTAAGGTTACCTGCAGTATCTCTTTCCCTTGCACCGACACTCATCCACAAGCATCAAGTGTATCGTCGGAGTCAGACGTCAATACACAGGGGTGACGGCACAGTCCCACCAAGACATCCACCAGGACGGCTACGTTTTTGAGGGTGATTCTTCCAAGGTGATTTGATAAAGCGAGCGGGTGGATAAGCTGCCAGACATCGTCAGAATAACAAGTGCTCCTGCTCCGAGGCTCCTCTGGCTTTGATGTTTGCCTTCAAACTCGGCTTTATGCTGACAGCAGATGCTGAGTGAAGTATACACCTCGGTTCGATTTTTTTAGATGACTAGGTTCTGATCCACACTGGATTGAAAATATGACCCAGTTGTTGGTGTGTAGCTTTTGAGCGAGCTCTCTAATGATAAGTGATCACCTGATGGGTAGAAAGGCTGGAAAGAGAATGCCACTTATTCTCTTTCTGTGCCTCAGTCTTTTTTTGATGACACCGAGTTATGGCCCAAATAGGACTCGGATTTAAGATCTCATGAGTAGTATATGGAAGATTAGTGAATGGTTTTGCTCTATTTTAGTATCATTCTATTTTTTTTCCCAGGAAATATTTCATTGTTACTAAAAACTGGGAATTCGCAGATTTCCATCCATCCACTTTCTAATCCGCTCATCCTCAGAAAGGTGGCGGGCGTGCTGGAGCCTATCCCAGCTGTCTTTGGGTAGTAGGCAGGGTACACCCTGAACTGGTTGTCGGCCAATCGCAGGGCACACATAGACGAACAACCATCCGTGTTCACAATCACACCTAGGGACAATTTAGAGTCTTCCATTAACCTGCCATGCATGTTTTTGGAATGTGGGAGGAAAGCGGAGTGCCCGGAGAAAATCCACACAGGCAGGGTGAGAACATGCAAACTCCACAGAGGAAGGCCGGAGCCAAAATCGAACCCTGCACCTCTGCACTTTGTGGCCAACGTGCTCATCAGCTGACCAACGTGCCGCCGTCGCAGATTTCAAATCGCGGAATTCATTTAGATTTTCTCTGAACAATGGCCAAGAAGTATTGATGGCTAATCGTATTTGTGAGATTGTGTCATCACTTTCTCCCTGATCCTCATCTGACTTGATTTGACCCAGGATTCCAGTTGCCATCTTGACTCTTTTGAGCTGCTTCATCTCATGTTGAGCTTTAGCTGACCTTGATGATTAGCCGAGCTGGTCGGCAGATGGTGTGGGGAAAGCCGGCTGGGCGGCACAGTCACCAACTTTAGGGATCAAGAGTGGGCTCATGGGTGAGGATTATGAAGTCGAGACTGCTTTGTAAACGTGCGGATGGTGAATATCACAATGCAATAGCGCAAACGCTGCACAGGCGCGGGAGAAAAGACAAAAGTGTCACGGTGACCATGAAGCATGATGATAACCGAGAAATTAATGAGCCTGTGTATCAGGAAATTCGAAGGGGCTCAGTGGAGACAAACATTTCGGATGGCGGTAGAAAGTTGCTGCGACCAGGGTCCAGGTCTGTCATTCTGTGGTGACAAGGGCGGGGAGGGAAGATTCCTCTCTCATTGTGTTGTCTGCTGATGGACTGCTCACCCTTCATCCCTCAGCATCTTATCGTGCACTCCTGGACCATGAGAGACATTCACCCAGCCATCCTCCGAGCATGATGGCTGACTTTGTTCCAAGTGTCACTGTTGCCCTCTGACCCACCCTCCGTCTCCTGTGCTATGAGGCATCAGCCTTGGGGGCTTCTTTCCGTCCATTTTTTAAGGACGGGGAATCTGATGTTTTGGTTGTCTTCCGTGGAGGACTCACAGGCTCACTCGTGAGCTCATGTAGCGATGGCTCCTTATACATTGCAACTGTACAGCAAAGAAATAATGCCCATAATTACCGACAAACATTGACATTGTTATACATTGAAGGGATGGGCATTAAAAATCCACAAATCAGGTGTTGACAATTTGGGACATTAGATAACATTTTCTTTTATCGGTATCTTGTGCAGTCAGTAATGTCTCAAACAAGAGGCAAAACTGCCGTCCATCCTTTCAGTGTCAAGTTTGCTGGCTCGAGACAGGATTGGAAATTAACATGACGGTCTCCCTGTGCTCACGCACTAGTCATTGGAGATGATTAATTTGCTCAACGCGACAGGGAAACTTAGTGTACCTGATTGTAGATTTCGTGTGATGGCTGAGGGTTGGAGCCTGCTAACACCAGAGCTAGCACGTCATTGCTTCTATACCATTTATCTATCCATTGGTGTTGAGTTAATTTGCGGAATATAATCTTAATGCACAGAGGCAACTGGTTACAAAGTTAAGGCACTCTTTTATTCAGCATGCGTACGCCACACGCACAAAGTGCCGACGTGCATTCTTCTTCAGTGGTTCAGCAGCTTGTTCAGTAGACAAGCACATGGCGGACGAGGCTCACAAAAATGAAACTAAAATGATCTGATCAATAATTCTACCTGCCGTTGTTTATTTAGTGTATTCAAATGCCCATCCCGAATTACAGACAAGGCTCACAAAAATGGAAACTGACCCTCGATAACTTTAGGCAGGAAGTGCGCGGCTCCTTTGTTCTTCTTTACCCGGTTGCCCTTCATGACCTGGCCGTCACGGTTGATACCGATATACCAAGCGCGACCAGACTGGGTCTGCCGATAGAGCATTGAGGAGTATGTGACGTAGTAGTTCTCAAACACACTCTCCTTGAACTTACACTCCGGAGTGAAGTGATCCTAGAAATAAACATGAAGAGGGAGAACGGGGCAGAGGTGCATTCACATTAGCAACGATTGCAAGGGAAGCCAAATTACGCGCAATTGTCATGAGATCAGTGAAGCATCATTGGAGTCTTTGAACATGTAAAAAGAAAGCACGTTTGAAAGCATGGACATCCTTATCCTTGGGGTATAAAAACATGAACATTCATGCCGTACATGGCAAAACAACATGAACATCTCTGCTGATCATTAAACCTCCCACAGGGAAAAGAAGAGGATACGCGCAACAACCATTATACACTGGACACAGATTGTTTTATACAAATAAAGAATTTTCATCTGGATCTAAAATAACCGTGTTAAATAAAATTCTACGAAAGTAACAACCCCATCTGACAGTTTGACTGAAATATCAAAGCCCAAACATGTTGCATCGAATTTTAATGTACATTGCTGCCAAATCAAGAAATCAGCATGACATCTGGATAAGATTTAGGAGGAAAAACAACTTCAAGACGATGTTATTGACAGTAATAGCACGCAAACAGACAAACAAACCTGAGCCAATGAAAATGTAACCTCTGCGGTGTAGGTTATTGAATAAATCTTGTGTGCAGCAGAATGATGAGGTCATAAAAATATCATGTCTTATTTAGTTACCTTTGGTTCAGAAGCGAGCGTTGCAAAATTCTGTCACTGTTGTAATACTCAAGATACTTTCAGGGAGCCTTTCTGTCATAGTTGCCTTGAGAAATGTGTTTCTCAAGTGTTTGGTTTCGAGACCGGTGTCAAGACCAGATTTTGAAAGTCTTGGTCTGTCTCAGACTTCACTTTCAAAAGTCTTGGGCTTGTCTCAGTCCCTGACCTGCCTGACTTAGGATATTCTGTCGAGGTCAGTCGAGACCGGCACTGATTTCCTATTCGTCATCTTCACTGATGGATAAGGAGAAGCACATGGTAAAACTACAAATACCTTCAAATTTTGTTTGACTCAACCCTCCACCGTACATTCCACCATCCTAAAGACTACTTATGGCATCTTGGATGTTCTGTCAATGAAGCATAGCTTGCTCCATCTTTATGACCATCATAAAATCAAAGGAGCAAAACTCGAATCCAATCCTTCCATTCAGTCAATCGTCACAAATGATCATTTCCCCCTTCCGGCCCCAAATCCACACCACACCGCTGCCCCCACGGGTGTGTTCTCTCTCCTCCATCAGGACATCTGAACCTTGTATCATGTTGACTGCTGATATTAAGCAGTCGAGACAGATATACATCTTCCTTAGTCTCTATCAGTCTTGTCAGGGTCCTTCTCCTGTCAGACAGCAAAGCCAATCTGGTGAATTGATTAATTGCCGTCAACATTGCAGAAACGGTGGTGAGTTTCTACAAGACTTTGGGGAGAAAGAAAAGAGCTCGAGGGCCACCACCTGGCATAAACAAACCGTAGCGAAGAGCCAACGTTAGAGAGAGAGGTGATACAAGACCTCCGGTTTCACACTTATCATAGATCATCACCTTTCTCCTTCTCTGGGAGGCATCATCCTTTAGCTGACAAGGCAATTCAGGACTTGGTGACCTTTCTCTGTCCACTCTGCTGCTCGAAGAGTTTATGCCCATTTAAGGCCTGCTCCCTGAACAGAGCAAAACAAGCCCCGGCTTTTCTCATTTAACCAACTATACCACTACTATGACCACCACAGCATGGAGCTATTTTAGGAGCCCCTGGCAGGTTTGATACCCTCTGCTTTGTCTAATGCAAAGAGGAGAGGATCGATTGGTGATGTGCTTCATTTATTATTAATCCGATCAGAGAGCAGAGGGCAGGAGATGTCTCAGACAAAAAAAGGGGAAACTTGGGAAAAAGTAAAGAAGAAAGTAGAAGATAAGAACACAGACAAGTAGACAGTCTCGCCTGAGAGCGAAAAACCAAGATTTTTGAGCTGACAAATCCTGTGCCCCTTGATCTGACAAACACTGCTCTCTCCATAAAGAAACCATCATTCTAACAAAATGCCCTTCAGTTCAACCTCTGAAATAAAAGAATCACCAGGGATAACCCCCCTCTTGCAAGTAATCCCCTTAATTACCCTTCATAATCACTTCGCTGAAAATAACCAACCTTTAGAAACCACATCAGCTGCCTTTCATTCATGTAATCCCAAAAGCAATATTTGTCATTAGTTGATAAAAACAAAAATCCAGGCATGATTATGCAGTCATTGTTCATTTTTCATGGCCATTTAGCACAAAGGGTCAAAAATTGTTGTCATGTTATTACATCTATTTTTGAAACCCCCTTGAAGTATCCTCTGGATCCAAGATGAACACAGAACCCAACCAGCGGGTACTTACTTCCTCACCAAATTAAACCATGTCGACAGATTATTACTGAGGACGTATTCTATTTCTGTTGTAGTTATTGTTCACAGTACACATTTACACAAGTGAAAAGAGACTATGCCAACATATGAATTGTAGGCCCCGTATTGTATGTATGTATATTTATTTAATTGAAAGTTCAATAAAAAAAAATGTGTTTACCCTTCTATATGTGAATGCCAGACGGTGCCTCCCTCATGCGTCCCATGCCAAAATGAATTTAAATGAAATCAGATGAGAGAGGTACAATGTGGTGTCCGTGCTGAGAATCGACAAGATGCGACGAAACCATTTTCTGATGAAGGAATGCACCCGCCCCCTCATCCCCGCCAATACACAACCCTCATTTCTGATTACGTCTCCCCTACCTCCTTCAGAACGCTTAACTCTCCTTGCCATCAGCCTTGCTTGCTTGCTCTTATACGTCCAAACACGACAAGTAAAGTGTTAAACATATTTAAACTCACGGGGCAAAAAATCCAAAATTTGATAGTCACGGTGCATATAATCAAGAACAGAATGAATATTGATCCCTAATTTCAAATGTCTTATTTGCACTTTTGTCCTCATGTGTGGAATTAACGGGTGCCTTGCAAATGTAGACGCACTTCTAGAATCTTCAAGATGTTCTGGCTGCAAATCCGACATGCAATTATTCGTATTCTCCTTTTTAGACAACGGGGGTCACAGTGTCGTACGGGCTCTATGTGCTTATTGACTATCCCATCAGATTCGCGGGCATACACTGAAAGCATGAGTTTGCCAAGCCTCCAAAACATCCTAATTCACCATGCTTCCATAATACTACCACAGCAAACCCACTCCACATAAAACCCATGTCATGGATACCTAACTATCACATCATTTTTCTTTATGGCGCAAACCGACGCGTGCATGTAAAGGATGCACAGAAAAGGATGCAAAGCCAGCAGCAGTGCATATATTGCTGATGTTGTTTTGAGGCCAGATGCAGCTGCTCTTTGGCGCACCGTGTTACGTAAGACAGTCGGAGATGGATGTGCATATTAAAAAGGTTTATCCGCACATGAGACAGTCAATACTGTCTCGGAAGCTTTACGGTAACATACATAAAGCATGCGGATGATAATGTGATGATTTGTGTCCCGTGGCCTTCTGATTGGCAGATTGGTACGTCGCTGAGAGGGGAGGAGCAGCTTCCATTCTCTCTCCAACCTTCTGTGACACCTGCTGCCTTTAGTAATCACTCAGCTTTTTAATTATCCACGCTACCCAGGAAACAAAGTTTGGGTGTATCATTATTGCTAGAGGCATTTTATACCCGAGCAAATTACTACGGACAGGTACTACAAATATCCCTTGGTCTTACGTACGTGTGCATAGACCAATCCTGTCAATCGAATAGAATGCATGCGATATTCACAATAGAAGAGGTAGTCTTCACTGTGTAAGGGGATGAAGACATTTGCCAAGAAAACATTTGTTTGTCGCCTCTCCGAGTGGGTCAGTGATGAGCTTCTGGAAGAAAATGTGTCCGATGAAAATGTTTTCACTCTCTTGGGATTCTTTTGAATGGAAAAGCAAAGCACAGCAGAGCGTGGCCTTTGAGCGGAAATATATGCACTGTGCCGTTCTACCTTCAATCCATTCCTGCACCGTTAAATCGGAACGTTAGACACACTCGAGAGGAAAATATGGGGTCATAAAATCAAATATGCATGATATTATACCAAAAGACAGGTGTTCGGTTGTAAAGCACCTACATAGGAGTGTGTGCGTGCATGCGTGTATGTAAATGTGTGTTTCTCTGGGAAAAAAAAAATGTGGGCTGCACTACAGCTATTGACTGCAGCAGAGGAAATCCCCACACTGTTCGCGGAGGAAAAGCATAATAAGCAGTGCAGCTCAGAGGATAATGAGAGCTTGTGCCTTTGCCATATTCCACATGCGTTTGCGCATAATTGTTCTATCCTGCACTAAAACCAACACATAAGAACAAACCATGTCTGGTCACAAAATAATATGCATCGACCGTGCCGTGAAGATTTTCCCTAGTCCTGATTTTTTAAGTGTAGTTTTTTAACAATAAATATAAAATGAAGTTCAGACAAAAAATGTCTAATAAAAAAAGTATATGTCCCCTATGTGAAGAAGTAAGTAAAATGTAAAAGAAGAAAACAGTTGATTAACCAGAGTTTTAGTTTTTGGACAGATGGCCATATCCTCGCCTGATTTCCGCCAGGGTTTTTTAATCCAGAAATAATTCGATCTGCTACACGTTAGAGCAAAAGTACAGAACAACAATGCCGTGAAAAAGTATTTGCACACTTCCTGAATTCTGTGTTCTTTGCATATTTATCACACACAAAATGTCATCCAACCAATTTTCATATCACAGCAAGTTGTCTCGGTCCTGGGTGAGCAAAGCAGCCACAGACCATCAGACAGCCGCCCCCATGCTTCACTGTTGGCATGATGTTCTTTTCCTCTAACGCCGAGCCTTTTTTACCCCAGACGTAACGGGCCGCACATCTTCCCTTGAGGCACAGCAATGCCGAAATATAGTAAAACAACATCTTTCATCAGGATCACCTTTCAAGATCGAACATATTTTCGTGGTCAGTAAAATTTTCCCAAGTCAGGTGTCATTTAACATTGAAAGTGAATTTTGACAAAAATGTGGGGCCTAATGTTTTTAGTCATACATATGCCACAATTCCCACGCATATTAAAAAAAAAGGCTAATATGAGTTTTATTATTGACAGTTTCTATCCGGAAATCCAACATTTGAATTTGTTTAGACAAAAGACCAATACGAAACATGTAACTGCCAAGTGGCCGAGTGAATCTCTCAATCCAAAATGACAGTAGTGATAAAGGCTTTCCGTGTATTGCCTCTCTTCATATGATTACACAGAGAACCGCTTATCAGTAGCCACTAAAAAGCTTTGGAGTGATCAGGATCATGCGTAGCCGGGTGCAAAGCTTACCTCCCAAAGTCACAAACTCGTGCAGCAATATTTTGGGCTTTCGTAGACTGATCTGCACAGCATACTTACCGAAGTATAGAGGTATCCGTCGCTATTCATGGCAAGGTACAGCCCCGTCTTTGCACCCTGGATTGCCACAATCCGCAGTCCCACAGGAATTAGGTTAAACTGCGCTAAATTGGATAAAACAGTTTAGGGAAGATAGAGAAGGAGAGAAAATAGAAAGTCAGACAACTCTGAATTCAAACGGCAAACTCACGCACGGCTAAAAACCTCTGCATTCTCTTTCTGCATTGTCGCAGTCTTGGAGGCTGCAGTCTCTCTACTGCATGCTACAGCTCCCTTTTTACCCAAATGCCGTGACCTCTCAGAGTTTATGTTGCAGCAAACTCTACACCGTGTCACCTTCACTAAGCTTAACGCACCCTCTAAAACTGAATAAGAGCGGGATGCTCTACCTCAGCAAATGGGGCTTGGAGCTGAGCTAAAAGTGGATAGTTCGACACAGCACCCGAGCAGTGCACTGCTTCAAAGCTAAGACAGAAGAAAAAAGGCGAGCTGGGGAACATTTCTTCATCCAAATTGGCTGAATCAACTGCTACTGCAGTGTGAGTATACGCCTTTGTGCCGAGGGTCAAAACCTCCAAATTCAATTCTACCTGCAGGATAAATTGCATAATTTGGGGCTAAAAAGATAAAATTAGACTTCTGGGGGTGAGGATAATATTCACATCATGTCAGCAGCAGGAATTAGAATTATCAACGTTGTAGCTATGAAGGTAATAGACTTCCCTCAGACGTATGATTGACTGAAACGACGCAACAGATTAAACAGAACCGTACACACACACACACACACACACACACACACACGCACACGCACACGCACACGCACACACACACACACACACACACACACACACTTACAAAATAAACTGCTCTCATCTCTTGTACTGTCAATGGTGCCATCGGGCTGCATTTGAAGGTAGTATCCATGTTGGCTATACAGGCGGGATACAATGCCTTTTAGTTGCGGCTCTGCAAATGAACACAAGGTAACATCTCCATTAGTTCATTTAGCAATAATCTCAGAACACAAATTCAAGGAGTTTTAGGATACAAAGTTTCATCTCTGCTTACCGTGCAAATTTTAATTGTACGGTTTGCCACGATTCTTCCCTTAACGTGTCTTTTCAAGTCAGTTTCCTTTCAGATCAAACTGCGGCAACTGAATTGATCATGTCATCATTTCAAGACACGCTGTCATATCGCTCAACGGTTTGTTTTGTTTCATACCTTTAACCTGCTAATAAATCAGCTCTAAGAATCGCTGTGGCAAATAAACATCAGCATGTCAGCAGTACTGCGAGCATGTTAACACGCTGACATAAATATTTCGCTTGTTTGTGCCCGGCAGAATCACTCACGGCGCTTTGCTCTCCCATTCAAATATGCGGCATTCAAAAGGGGTCACACACAAATGATGTTGTAGCGGAAAAAAACTCCCGCCTTTTTTCGAAACTCTCATTCAGATTGTTATATTGTGGTGAGTAAAAAATATGCAGTTAACAGCTGCCCTCTCCAGAGAAGTCTCATTGCAAACAGTTATTCAGCATAAACGCTTAAGTTTTAGCGACTCTCAGTTAATTAAAGAATCGCCCGAGGTGCATTTCACACTCATACCCAAAACCCTTGTAAGACACACCAGGTGATGAATAATACACTTTGTTTTAGCCGCCGTATTAATGCGATGTTTTGCTATCACATGCATTTTTAGCTATAGCTGGGGTCATCAGAGGCTAAATTTAGAGAGCGAGTTGGAGAGTTAGCAACATAAAAGATGCAATCAGGAACCTTGGTGGTGGAGAACAGGAAGGGGTGGGGGGGGGGTGAAAAGAGTGAATGTTTAATGAGCGAACACCCCGCAGCTCATTTTAATTTAAGAAACAGACATAACCTCACCTCCTGTTTCTTGGTAATTCAAACAGTAAGGAGAACCCTGCAGGTCCTCTGTGACTCATCTCATTTTTTTTTCTTTTCACTGCTTACATTTATTTATCTCACCATTCCTTTTCAATGTATGTCAAATGAGAGAGGTGAACACGGATGAAGGGAGCAGGACCAGGGAGTCGTGTGGGTGTTGCTCTTCCTCCAAACTCCTCCTATGCCCTCGCGCACAGCCCTCGAGGAGTGTCCTGGTAAACTGTGCAATATGTCTTGTCTTCTGGTCACGAGCACAGGGGGCAACAAACTGGCACGACGATGATGCAGTGATGAGATCTGAATTACCGTTTCCCTCAGGAAATGTTCCAGGGTCGAAGCATCATTGAAATTGCGACCCGGTCCCATCGTTTCATGCATGCTGCTGAGAATTTCCTATCTTTCACATCTGCTAGTCCAAATACACCATCTTCCTTAACCCCCCCCCCCCCCCCACACACACACACACCCCCACCCATTGATTTCCTTTATATTTTTTTGAATAATATACTGTACTTGAGTTGAACCTCCAACAACATGACATACAATCCAATCAGAGCAGTCAGTAAACGTCAAAGTGAGGGATGAAAAAAGGGGAGATAACAAAATAGGGGAATTAAGGAGGCACGGAATAGATAGAGAGATCGCTGCGACATGCAATGAAGATGTCAGTTTGTTCAGAATGGCAGCTCTGTGCACCGCAAACGAAAGCAGACTTAAGCAGAAATTCTATAGATGGCTCATGGTAGTCGTGCTACAATTAAGATATCCATGTTAGTCTCAGAAACACTTTTACTAATATTTCGCTGACCTTGCCTCTACAGATCAAGTTTCAAGCCATTCCACCTACAATGGACAATAAATTCCAAGCCAGTACGAAAATACTGTGTAACACCCCCCCCCCCCAAAAAAAAATAGCAAAACGAACACATCAACAGATTTAGAGCCTCCGGAACAAAGATTGATGGTTGGTAAAACCAGTGCCCGTCAACTACTGGCATACTATTACCAAGCATGTATTGCAATTTACGCACAATAATTTCGGTTTCATAGCACCAAAAGGCACGGGCACCAGGATTCTACCTTTGGCCACAATGTGACACTGGATTCTAGTTTGCGTAAGCTATTTTAAACTAAAAAAGAAAAACTTTTCCGTTGTTTAAAGAGGAAATTTCATCCAACAGGTACACATTTGCTGCTATCAACACGGAGGCGTGCATTCGGAATTCACTTCCTCACACCAATTTTTTTTTCTTCTTCATGATGCATTTTTTTTTTTGACTGGTGCGATGTAAAAAAAAAAATGTTCAAATCGCAAACTTGGCGAACGTCTGCAATACTGAGTGCTATTCCTGGTTTAAATGCAACATGACAATAGACACGAACGAGATTCCCAACTTTTTACTCAACAATACTAATTGTTTCTAGTCTACACGTACCTTGTAAGCATGCGACATCCTTATGTAACGCTCCTTTTTCAAAGAATTCTGAACTCCAGCTTTAATGGCTTGTGTCCTGCTGACTGTCATACCCCCTACTGCTCCCAAAAGTCCTGGAGAAGTGCACGCACTGACGGAAAGTAACATGTTGTGACAGCAGTCTACCTCCCGTCGGATTAGCAAAACGCACATTTGTTTACATGAGCAGAAAGGCTGTGTTTCTGTCACAGCGATGCAAATGTAGCCCGGGTTGCACCGTAGACTGTAGGTAGAAAAGAGGATGACTATCTAGAAAAGAAAGTGACTCTTCTGTGTTTTGGGTGTTACAGATGTATTCCAACAGCAAACGCAAAGGCATCCACGCTTGCTCCCTTTGCAAGCGAGCAAACTTAAAATAAAACTTTTTTTTTGTTTTCAATAGCATAATAACTGCCATTGGCTGGCAACCAGTCTTGTGTGTAAGTCACCTAGGAGAAGTCTCCAGTTAAACCCGCCATTCTAATGAGGACGAGTGGATAGAAAATGCATGGATTTATCGATCGACGCGCGGTTTATAAGTGACAACCTTGAACACTAGTGTACTCGTGTCCACTGTATACCGGGACGCTGTCATCCCAGCCGTAATTGCTTGAAAGTACAATACTTTTGACTTTTCACTTACATTTAAAAGATATCTCTTCCTTTGCGGAGCTTTCCAGACTCACTAGATTCATCATTCACTATTGTTTTAGGGAGTTTTCACTTTCACATTAAAAGACCATCAGCGCTGTACCTCTGTCTTATCGTGTAAGTCACCTGAAAATCTTTTTTTGTTTTGTTTGTTTTGTTAAAAAATGTAGTTTGTCTTTTATGAATCTAAATATTGTACACATTTTGATTTGGTTGCAGCAGCATGATATCTTTCAGCACATACATCTCTCTTGTAAAACTTTAGATAAATATGCCCGAGGCACATTCTGCTGTCCCGGACATGTGAATATTTCCCATGCTGGGGCTGTGTATGATGTCGCTCATCACTCACAGGACCCATGTGGGGCTTGAGTGACAGAAAACATTAGCCGATCCAGGTCAGTGGAGTGTGGGTCACAAAAGAGACCTCCCTGTCTGTTTGTGTACATCACTGGCGCAAGTGGTACACACAACATGTCGACTCATCAGCGGACCCGTTTCCCGAGCGACCTTCATCACATATGAACGGAAACAACAATAGCAGTTGACAGGAAGAAAAACATGCAAGTTGCTGCTTTCTTCAAATGGAAATGCCTTATAAGATTCACTGCGACAACAATAAAAATAAATCAATACCATCCAAGTAAATAGAGCGTCGAGAATATTTCGTTGATTAACCTGAGCGTGTCTTACACCTCGGCGGTAGCCATTTCACCGTCTACGCATGCAGGGACGCCCCTCATCAATTTACATTCAACACCAATAATCGTATTGAAAACCCCGTGGGAGGAATGAGGCCTCGTCCTAATAGTACCACCATTCACCAAGCAATTAGATGTGCGTCTGTACAAATGAGTTCAATGCGCATCCGACGCCAAGGCAATCACTTCGTGCATCACTGCAGCCATCAAGGATGCTTAAACCCTTCCCTGCGATGTAATTGCTCTGAAAAATAAGCACTAGTTGAGGTTTATCACTAATCAGTGTTGGGTGCGTGTTAGTTATCATTGCATTAATGTATTTATCTGGCTTGATTCAAGCTCAATATGTTGCTTGCTAATAGCTGAGTTTCTATTGAGAGGGCTGGAGGTAATTACTAGGAGCTGCATGACAGAGCAGCCAAGGACATTTGATCGCCGTCTCTGACCGAATCAAACAATGGGGGTTTTCCTTGACTTATATTTTCAAGACCTACACTTTCTCACCTCCTTGGCGATTACGTCTCTGTTACGCACACCTCCTTTCTTATTCTTTCCCGCCGTACGTGCACATGTACGGAGATCAAATACATCTATCAAATACCCCCCCCCCCGAGTTAATTATAAGAAATTCACGAGAGCACAGTCCTCTGCCAGGGCTGAATTATCCTTCAAATGTCTCCCAGATTTGACTGATTTGCACTTTGTGGCTTGGAGTGCTTCATTTATGATTGATACTGTCACTTTGTTTTTCCTGGTGTAGTTATTTCTGGTGTGTACATACAGTACCGTATTTTCCGGACTGTAAGTCGCAGTTTTTTTCATTGTTTGGCCGGGGGTGCGACTTATACTCTGGAGTGACTTATGTGTGAAATTATTAACACATGATTATGTCATTTCACATGCTATTTTCACATTAAACCATAAGAGGGCACTCTCGGCCTCTGTTGATAAATCGACGATGAGTCTGATGTAAGCGACGTAGAAGAGGAAGCGGCGCATTGTCTACCTCCCGAGTTGGGGGAGTTGTTTAAAAGTGACACCGAAGATGAATATTTCATTGGATTTAGTGATTTGGAGTGAAACTGATAGCTTGGTAAACTTGTTAGCATGTTCTTTATGCTAGAGTTTTCTGAATAAGTCTTAATATGTTACGTCGTTACTGACATTACCAGGCATATCAGTCATGTAACGTTCGTATACCGTACACTTATTCAGCCTGTTGTTCTCTATTTTATTTTTATTTTAAATTGCCTTTCAAGATGACATGTATGTTTTTGGCGTTGGATTTTATCAAATAAATTTCCCCCAAAAATGCGACTTATACTCCAGTGCGACTTAAATATGTTTTTTCCTTCTTAATTATACATTTTTTGGCTGGTGCGATTTATAATCGGGAGCGACGTATAATCCGAAAAATACGGTAAGTGGTGCGAATGTGCAGTCATTAGTTTATGATATGGTTGTGTGTAGTTTACAGACAAAGCAGACTTCGGGGTGTGGTCATACTTGGTCTGTTTCCGCCTAAAGCTTCCCAGGTCCACTTGTCCTGCCATTGTACTAAATGGATCTTTTGGCCATGATCGCAGCCAGCACACCTGTTTAAATAGTCTGTTTCTCCCAAGAAAAGAAAACTATATGCCGGGAGAGTGTCTTAAGAGCAGATTGGCACAGGATGCGCAGAGTGCATCTATGATACCTTTCGGCCAAACATCGTCTGTGATCACGCGTGAGAGCCAACGTTGCACTTTGCGCTCAGATTCCCTTGAATCTAAATGTATCGACGCATTTATTAGCTAAGTTCCTTTGAAAATTTCATACTATGCGCTCTGCATAGTAGTAAGCAAACACACCCCGTGTGAACACTGCCAAGGGATATATTACAGTAGTTGAGTCAGATGTTGTTATTCTGTTTATATTTGCATTCATAAACTATTCATGTAAGTGCACACCAGACACGTTACATAACTCTGGTCGTTTGAGAGCTTTTATTGGTTACTTCTAGGACTTCATGCTTATTTGTTCCCCCTTTTCTTCCCACTTCCTTGTCTGCTCATCAGCACCCCAATCGGTGTCCTCCATCTTCACCGACTTTCTTTTGTTGGAGGTAAGTTCAGTCTGTCCCTGTCAGGTTTCATCAAAGCGCCCACTGATTCCACTTAGCAAGTATGCGTGGGAGGTTAAGGTGCTACCTTCAGGACGACGGAAAACAAACGGATGCTCCCTGCATACACATCCCTCAGCTGCCTCACTTTTAAATACGACTTAAGAGCTTTGTCAACAGCTTCTCCACAGCTAAATATCAAGCCCACTCTCAATTCAGAAAGCCGCACAGACAATCCGCTCATGTCCATTTCCCTTACCCCCCCCAAGTGATGAGAAGCTTCTGCAATCAAGAGACGAGGAAGTAGATAAGCCATGAAATGAAAGTAAATGCATAAATAAAACTCTTAATCTTGTGCAGATTTCCTACTTTTATGAAGAACGCCCTAAAAGATTAGGGTTGGAAACTTTGTTGCTTTGCTTGGATCTAATCTGATGACATTTTAAAGGATAGAATAGATAACGGAGTTTTGACATCATCACTCCATGTCATTTCACACCATTTGGTTCCAGATAATTTGAGTCTTCTGATGTTCATCGTTGAGGTTTGCCGTTCAAACACGTTGATGATTGTTGTTCTTGGGACTTGTCACACAAGCCTCGGTGAAACTGTTGGTTTGAAACCACGTCTCTTTGTCTTGCCCACATGAGACTCACATGGCCTTTGTTCCAACACATTTTTCATGCAACCACTTGACGAAATAAAATCGAATAAATTCAACGCAACATTTTTTTTCACTGCATCTGATTTTTTTTTTTTTTTTTTTTTTTTTTTGTGCATGTCATCACAGTTTCCGCGACAATCGGTAATTGTCAGGCAATCACGTGAACCCTACTCCCAACTTTTGGAGAATAAAATATAACAATAGAAACAACTCTTTCAACGAAAAAAAAAAAGGGTACAAGTGAAAAGTTCATGTGGATGAGAGCTTTCTGCAGTGACAGTTAATATCCAGCCTCGTGGTTTCCTATCTCACATTTTCTGTACGGCAGGCTGATTCACAGCTCTTTTCACTTCCACCCACCTTGCTTTAATCTCCTCTGCTATCTTTCTTTACTCCTCTTCCTGCATGTTTGATTACCCCCTTTATCTGTCTCTTTGCTTAGCGTTCCCATCCAGCCCCCACTTAGAAACACAATTTTTCTCTCCCATCGCTAAGATCTTGACTTTTCTCCTATTAGTATCTGTTTACCTTCGCCAGACTCCTCCTCCCCCACCTCACCGTCTCGTCCGCTTTCCCTCTGCCGCGCTCTGACCCCTGTCACACTCAGTAAAGTTCTGATGAGAAGCTACCCAACACTGCATCGTCTGATCAGGTGTTGTCGAGTAAGCGACTTTGCCCGGCCCTGATCTCTTGGGGTCAGCTTAATGCCATCCTCGGCTGAAGCTCTCCTTGTAACTCGGTCTGCTGCTCCCCAGCTGCGGCCTAACATTTGTGCTCAAACGGTCCTCGGGTACTTCCTCAACTGCATTGCTCCTCCCTGCGAACAGCCGCGAAAAGTCTCAATTGTATTTGTGCATTTTGAATTTTGACGAGTCAGCACTCGTCAGAGAATTACCTATCTATCGATCTATCAATCTATCTACCTATCGATCTATCGATCGATCGCTGATTTCCCTTATGTTTGTTTTTCACGCCCACGTGTGGGAAAATGTGATGCTTTGGTTTGATCAATTGTAGAGACAACCCTCCCCCTCTTGGAAAAAGATGAGAGCCTTTGAGATTCGAGAGGAGATCAAATAATCCACAGCGCCCCTGGTTGTTTTGTGGAAACGCAGCTCTACTTAGAGCCCCGTGCAAGCGGGGAAACTATTGTGTGTGCAAATGACATGGAGTTGAGTTGTATAAATGTAGGAGGTTAATCTTGAATCAGTTTTCCCACCCACAGGATATTGTAAAGTCAACATATCCTGCCAACACGCAATTAATTGTCGGAGACTTTGAGTCCGGCGTTGTTGGGCCAATCTATGTGAAATAAAGTACAGTAGAACAAGTGCTAATTATAATCGGGATTAAATGATGAACAGATCTGTGCTGCAGCATGCATATTGTAAAAAGGGCCTCCACCTGTTTAGTTAAACTGTATTCTTTGTCACAAACCAGAGTTACCAATCGAGTTAAAACATGTTTTTGCTTTTTGTTTTCATCCAAATTTGTTTAGATACTGTATGGCTCCACGCTACCCCAAGACATCAAGATAGAAGGAAATCCTCCTTGGTGTCATCCAACTGCTTGTGGATGGAAGTGCCAACCTACTGTCAGGATGAGCAACTCTTGCAGGTAAAGGATTTAACTTATTTGATATATCGCAGCATATCAGAGCTATTCCCAGATGGAAAAACGTCAATATTTTGACCACAATAGCCATTTGGGCTAAGAAATATTTACAAAGATTCAGCTATGAATGAGCTCCCCATCTCTTTATCAGCTGTTAATTTGAGCGACGTTGTTACTAAATGAAGCACTATGAATCGGGAAAATATATTTTTCACGTACAGTAGCACTGGTGTTAATGCTTGCTTTTCTGTGCCATGAATTCCTAGAAAAGTGTTTCATATCTGCCCATATATTGAATACACAAAACTATGCTTGAAAGGCCTTTCATGTGAATTGCACACATGCTTGCAGCTCATCCCTACGACATTTCAATCCATCCATGTTGTATGGCACTCGTCCTCATTAGAGCCACGGTGAAACTGGAGCCTATCCCAGCTGACTTTGGGCGAGAGGCGGGGTACAGCCTGGACCGGTCGCCGGCCAATTACAATATTCTCGTCCCCAAAAGTCTTTACAAGTGCATTTCCATAAGACTCCTTCGAAGCCTTTGCGTGTCACACAGAGCGGCATTTCTTCAACAGCATGCGGGGAAGATGAGCAGTGGCTCATGCAGTCAAAATGCTAATTACAAATCTGGGCAGGAAAAAGAATCTTCTCCGTCTCCGTTTCACCTTTGTGTCGCGGCACCGTCATCCATAGGACAAATCTGGTCGCCTAATATGAACAAGCTGTGTTTTTTTTTTTTGTTGTCGTTTTGGTTTGGGTTGTTTTGTCCAGGCTGCGCAAAAGAAATAAAGAGCGCAATATCCGCAAAGCTGTAATCTTGCAGCGTGTTACCGTATTACGATGTTACGGCTGCGTGGACGATCACCGCAATGGGTGAAAATAGACAATGACTTGACACTGTCATCAACGATCTGCTGCGTGGCAGTCTTGTGATCATCAAACAAACTTCTCAGATTTGGAAGTCAAATGCTGCAGACATAATGTAGAAAGTCCTCATCATAATTGCTCCTCATGCGCCACAATAAATCTGCTCCGAAACAGCCTTTGGCGCTGCAGGCAAACAAACACTCAAACGATCACTGTCTTCTCCAATCAACTGCGACGGTATGTGGCCTCGTCACGGAGGACATGATCAGCAGCATGTCTACAAGTTGCGTTGTGACGCTTGGGCATAGTTATTGTGGCTCAGTTATTAAGCAAGACAATTGAATGGAAAATATCACCGTAGGAGAATTATCAATAATTTAACAACTTTTTTATTGTCTCTCTCAACATGATGCAATAATGTCCTTTAAAAAAGTATGTGACGAATGCAAAAAAGCGAAATATGGATTTAGTGAGTCAACTATAATATGAATAGTTCTTTTAAAAAAAAAGTAGAATATGACCACTTTTAGTTGTATTCCGTTGATTTTTTTTGTCTTTTTCAATGATAAGTTGCAGAGGATTATGTCTATCATTCAGGGACTTTCAAAGTGAAAGATGATCAAAGAAACTGACTGTTTCACAGCTTACATTTTTTTTCCCCCCTCTGTGCTTGTTTTGCGCTTGCAAATACCAAGAAAGCATCACCGATTGGGTAATTTTCCATTCAATTTGGCATCTGAAGAGCAACTGAAACATGTTATTATGACAATTATTGCGGAGCACTTTATAGGAGCCGCTTTCAATATCACAACAGATTCCAATGACATTGTCTTGCCCGTTTCTGTTTATGACAGCATGTTGAACGGCAAAAACGCCAACTTGAAAAAACATTTCACGATCATGAGGATGCGGACATCACATTGCTTCAAGAATGTCAGCAGACAGGACTGATGTGGGTGTGTGCGTGTGTAGCTGAAGATAATGAGCTTGATGAAACTGCTGTAGCAAAGTGTAGCTTTTCTTTGGCCAGAGGCGAAACGGTACTCCCATAAATTCTCAAGTCAAACATGCTGTTGGACAATAGAGGGAGGACGAGCAGCCGCTGCGCATGCGCCGGATGCAAATCTTTGTGTCCTCTGGCAGTTCTGCTGCTCATTGTCAATTCAGCGGAACTTTTCACCAATGCCAAGAACAAAAACTTCTATTTTTTTATGACATTTTTCTCATGCAAATGTACCCTAAATCTCCCCAAAATAGTTACAAAACCTCGTTAAATCAGGCACATGAACAACTCTGCGTGAATCATTCAAACAAGAACATTCAAATTGATTAATCATTGTTTCCCACCTCTGTTTTTGCATCAGCAATTTTAGCTCATGTCAGACACACCTGCACGTCATGACATCGAATACACGAGCTGCGTTGTGAATTTGGCCTTTACAAACAGAATAAACTTCAGTAGCAATATCCGTATTATTGTGGTTGTTGTTTGAAGTGATGCGGAATAGCACACCGTCATATTGCTTCCCAGGGTGTGCATTTCTCACGTAGACAAAAATACGAGAATAGAGATCTTTCTATGATAAATTCATCTCTTAAAGGACACCATCATCAACTGTTAAATCTCATTCACTGTCAAAACAAACTGAGCAGTGATATATTCATACAGGCGGACTTCCTACCACATGTTTCTGTTGAGCTTTGCGGTCATGAATTATATTTCATACTGAGTTTAGTAGCTTCAGAGGAGCTGCCTTATAAATGGGAGACGATATACATTTGCGCGAATATAAATCCTTGTTCTCCGAGGAACAGTTCATTGATCCAATGCAGATCTGTTATTTGGGCTGGAAACAAAATAGAATGGAATTTAGTGGGGGGCAAAACACTCATATTTTTTCACAATCTATATAAAACAAGTTCATGGCAAACAGAGGCAAATAAAATGCCACATAAAATGTTAATGTTATGCACAGTACATTAGTTTTATGGTGGCAATGACTCACCTGGTCTCTTCTCGTTGCGACCTTTGCGACCCCCACACAGTCTTACTTTGGAAATGAGAACCAGGATCTGTTTCTGGCACAAAGACTTGTTGCTCTTTGGACAGGGCTTACGCTTGTTGGCTACCGGTCGATTGGTTTGGTCGTCCTTGACAGCCCGTTTCTGTCTGATGAGTGAGCTAGCAAGAGCTGCCATCTTCCCACCCCCCTCTCAACTTTGGGAGGGGGGTGTCTTCCTGCCCAGGTGCCCCTTTTACTGCTGTAGCTTTTGCTTTGCGCAAAATCTGGAGTAGGACAAAAGGTTGTAGAGAAGTCCCCACAGGGGAACCCTAAATGGGTTAACAGGGAACCGTTTAGTGGGAGGGTTCCCTTTGAGATGGAGGAACGAGGAGAGATGCAAGTTCACCTGCAGTCCAATGTACGCTCTCCACACTGGCACAAATATATCAGGAAGGGAACAGTCATGTTGTGATCATATTAAGCAAGGATGGCATTGGAAAAGGGTGAAAATGCTTTTCTTCACACATCTTGAATGCCAATCCCTCCATAGACAAGCTCAAACTCCAATGTCGCCAAAAACTAGTCGACTACTTTCACGCATTACAAAAAAACGATTCCACATATAAAAAGACTTTCACTCGGGAAAATTGAAATCATTTTTAATGCTAGGAAGAAATTAAAAAAGCAAGAAAAATCAATGTGTTTGTCACCATTTGTGCGGTCCACGGGGGAACTTTGCCTCCCATTTAAACGTGGCACCCTCCAACAATGATGCGGGAGTCCGAGTGGTAATCCGGCGGATTTAAATCCAGAGGTAGAACAGCAGGCAGCACGTTGACGACGCTTGTGGGAACAGTGAAGAGACATGGACTCAGAAAGATAGAGGCTCCTCTTCTGCCTCTGGATGGCATTGCTCTGTTCCCACAGTCCTCACCGAATCCCCTCACCCCCCGGGCTCCCCCTCTCCCTCCTTTGCCTGCTTCTTCCTCCTCCTCATCCAAAGTCAGCGAGTGGTTTTGAGAGGATGTGTGTGTGAATTCCGGCAGCCACCATCAGTAGAGGTGACATTCATGAGAGAGAGAGAAAGAGAGAGAGAGAGAGAGAGAGAGAGAGAGAGAGAGGGAGAGAGAGGGAGAGAGAGTGTGGGGGGGGGCAGTGAGTGCGAAGCTGCGATGTGTGAGAATGAAATTGTCTGCCAAAAAAAAAAAAAAAAACACAGTAAGTGACCAATTCAGAAACTCACAGCTTTGAAGAGGCTGCTGGTTGTCTCTTTGTTAATGTTTTTTTTTTTTTTTGGGGGGGGGGGGGGGAAGTTGAGTGCTATTCTCGTTAATAATTTATTTTGTATGGTGAAAGGAACAGATTATGGCAGTTCGCCATCTCTTCTGGAAGAACAAAATTACCATGTGTAACCTTACACACACACACACACACACACACACACACACACACACACACACACACACACACATCGCTTGTTTTGTAGTGGAGACTTCCCTGCTGCTGCGTCTGTGTCAGTACTCTGCTCCCACAGCAAGAACCTCCTAATCAAGTCATTATTGCCGCTCCACTTGTGATTTATCTCATTCATCTCGAACCCAAAATTAAAGCAATAAATAAATATTATGATTCAAAAATGTTTTACTGATACTGGCACCAGACCTGTCGCCAGAGCCCGGCATAAAGGGGGGCAGATGAAATTCATTGGGGGGAGGGTGGGGAGGTGGGGGTTCAATTATTAATATCCTCCAGGCAGCACTTACTCCATATATTTGGATATATTCATGTATCAGTGCGGCTCCCAGTCAATCGGGTTGAATGGTGGCCCTTTCCAACAACCGCTGGCAAGTATTCTCTTAGACAACATTTACAGTACATCTACGCCATCTTGAGTATGTCGACGCCGCAGCCGTATTGGATGTGGCAAAGTGAAGCTCATTGTGAAGATACCTCGTTCGCTTGTTCCTTGTAGATGTATAAAGTATCGCTAAGCAAGAACTCACTGGATTAATACTGAACTGTTGCTTTGGATTGTATGAATGCATTTTAACTCAATTTGACGAATATTATTTGCCGGTTTTTGTGGCACATCGAATATGGCGGATGCGCTGACATATCGCTTTTAACGGACCACCTCATTCATTGGGTGTATGCATGAGGAATGAAAAAAAAAATGAAAAGAAAATTGATCTTAGGTTTAATTGTTATGGGTTCAAATGGCTCTTTACTTGGCGACATGAATGTAATATGTCCCTCCTCACTCCGCCATGGAGTGATTGATGAGCCCGGGTCGAAAGCATAATGTCGGAAACTAAACGATGCCCAATATGCGTAAACTACCATCAGTTTATGTTGACATCTCTACTTCTGCTCACATCAACCTCTGAAAATATTAAAACAAATAAAGTGTGGTCGAGGTGCACCGGAAATTATGTCATACACATCTAATTCCGGCACTGGAGTTCACGCCCCCATTCTGATGAATCCGATGCTGAAGATCTTGTTAGTGCAATCATTGTCCTGACCCCAACCCCATCATACACTTTTGGGATCAACGACAGCAGTGATTGCGAGACAGGCCATCTCACCCAACATCAGTGACTTCTAACCTCACAAATGTTCTGGATGAGTGGACAAAAATTCCCACCAACAGTTCACAGAAGAGTTAAAGATGTCCAGACTGAAAGGCTGGCGAGCATGTACGGATTTTATTTCATGTCTCAATTCCTGCCAGTGGGCCAGGTGCTCCAGATCTTTCATTCAATTAAGTCCAAGTTAATTTGAAATATGCTGAGAGGCAGTAGCTGCTGTGATTTTAAATAAGATATTTGATTTATTTCACTTTGCAAAACAGTCTGTTGGAAAGCAAATATTATATTTGGATTAATATGATATTAATCACTTTTGTGAAAATCAAAGGTGTGCTTTCTTTCTCATAAACAGAAAACGTCATGTATTACATTTTTAATTGTGTTCATAAGAAAATCATTTTTGGAAATAAATGTTTTAGGTGGTTGAAAAACAACATGCGTGTGATGCAAATGGCCGATTCATAGTCAAACACCATCATGCTATGCTGTGATCGAACATTAAAGTCCTACGAAAATCTCCCTGGCACCTGCAGGTTTGGATTCCATCAAAGCAACTGATCTGAAGGCTAATCAATCTTGCCATTTTTTGGCACCTTTTTTGCAAGCCAATTTTCCCAGGAAACCAGGAGGAGAAGCAAAAGGCAAGGTCAATTCAAATCGTTTCGAACAATACCGTGCAAGGTCACCGTCCGTCACGACATGATTGACAGCTGACAGCGGGTGTTTGGTCTCGGTTGGAGGGACAAGGGCACGGCGCGGCGGAAGCACAGATAAGATAATGCAGTTTGTATTGACAAGTCAAGAGAAGTCAACATTTTCTTCTCATTCCTAAAATATTCCCCCTATTCTGAAATGCGCTTTTGTATTCTGGGTTAAGAATCAATCTCCTAATGGATACGATGGTTGTTGCCAAAGGTTAGTCTGTGTGTTGCTTGTGTCACTACTTACAGAAAAAAAAGCCTTCCTGTGTATTCTTGGGACGGTTTCCTTTCTAGAGGTTATGAAAATATTCAATTTTCATTGAACTCTGTAATTGATGAAATGATGTGCTCTTATGTCAGCATCTTAAATGTCAAGTCACCGCCTCGCTATGGGGATTTAAGACTCCCACCATTTAAATTCTTATTTGTGTGCGTTATTGCCATTGTTTATCACATTTCTTTTTTACTAGTTGTTTTCTTTCCAAAACGTAATTGCTGTACATTTGTCAATGTCCTCTACCTTTTGTGAATTTCAGCAATCGAATCGTTTTCAAGCGTTTATGAAGAGCAAATCTTCACCCGACAAATGTAGCAAGTTTGGATAGTATCAATCCATGAAATGGCCCATTTCTAATAGTTATCACTGTCCTTGTAGTGACTCAGAAGGAGCAAACACTTCCCAGTAGGCCAGAAGGTGTAGCTCATCTATTATTATCACTGGTAAAGACTCAGTAACCTAGATCGACTCGCGCTGCTGGGTTCATAGTTTTGGAAACACATACAGATACCTTCAAAAGTGTTGGAACAGAGAAACCAATCCCTTTGTTTTGGTTGCAGACCGAACTGTGTTTTGACATCAAAATATGAATCTGAGACGAAAGATCAACTTTAGTATCTGGATCCAGATGATTTTATTTTGTACAACCACTTGTCAAAATAAAATGGAGTGAATTCAACACACCATTTTTTTTTTCAGTGGATGTGCAAGCCAAAGATTATTCATATCTTGGCCACAAAAGTTATTTCTTTTATTTGATGACTGGGTCTTATCTGGTTAGAAATGTGTAAAAATAGTCTCAGATGTTATGGTAGATTTGAGATGATAATTGTTTAACACTGGTCAGCCTCAAATCTTCATCAGACATGAGTTGGTGTCCCGATAACATAATTTTGACACCGTCTAAAAAAAATATATATACTTTTTTACTTAATGTATTTACTCTTAAACCTTCTGTTACACAAACATAACAGTTACACAAATGAAACAGGTGGATTAAGTGTGAGTTCGGTCCGCCTGGAGAGTAAGGCTGAGAGTGAGATCACTTTATAGACCAGTGACTGTTATGTTTTCGTCTCAGACGCTATATGAAAATGTAGCAACAGAGTAATAATATACTGTATTAGTTTTTGTTGAAGGATTTTACGTGTGCTACATTGGAATGGTTAAGAACCAAAATTAATTCCTGACAAGTGACATCGGTATTCATTTGCGATGAATTGAGAAGCAGAATTGTCAGTTCAGCAAAAAGGTACTCCAAGGAATCTAATTACTGAGAACAGCGCCTCAAAAAGTTTTTCATTCCCATCCCTAAAGATTTGGGCCACCTGCAAGTACATATAAACTGGAATTGGGCACTAAATAGGAATTGGGCATATGGGGGCCTCTTTTAATGCCCAACACAAGTCAAACCTGAAGTGCAGTCTAACTGCGCGCTTGGTTGGAGTTTTCTTTCTGTGCCGTGCAGAATCTGTCACATTTGATCAATTCTGCACCACAACTTAGACCTGTTTATAGTTGGTCTAAGGTGTAGTCTACTTTTTGACATCATATTGTTAGGTGCGGCGAGGGGTGGGTGGGGGGATGTAATAGCATCGAGCACATGTGCCTGTCGACATAAATGGACCCCCACAGTGACAATCCTGCCTAAATTACATTTAGTACAGAGGACAAAAGATGCCTCCTTAACCTACGTGGTGTTTGTGAGGATTTTCTGATAATTCTCATCATCAAGTTAATGGAAATAATTGGCAGATTTAACAATTGACAGCGATTCATTTCCATATATAATTCTTGTACATGTCACTCTAGCTCATAGAGCTGGATAATGAGCATCCCGTTGCTTTGTTCTATGAAACACAATAGCCGTGGTGACGTATAAGTATGTTTACATAAGAATACAAATGCATGCACAAACACACACGCAAAGCCAGAAAGAGTTAAGCGCATCAAAACAATTGGCCTAGTTCTGTCTTTGTCTCCCTCCTCCCGTTATCGCTCTTTCTCTCCTTCAATCCCCCACTCCTCAGCTCATCACGCCGTCCGTAGATGACAGGAGGCATTCTTCGCTAATCCCCCTCCATTATGCATCCATGTGGAATTTGAAGCTTGCTTCTTGCATGCAGAAATGATATTTTCAATGTCCTTGACCCATGGGTGGGTTGCTCATTAGCTCTGAGCTGTACATAGCAGTCTCCATTTTGCTCTTTATTTTGGTTGATTTGGATCATTATATGGTCATTTGGTTTTAAACATGAGAATTTCTTGGCGCATGCGATGCATCCCGCCCTCCCCCCTCTTATTTTGCGCCTTTGACTAACACAATAAACCTCATTCACTCATTCTGTCACGTTCCGATATTATCGGGATAGAGGTGGATCCCACCAAACGTAGACTTGGATAAGATTGTGGTACAAAAAGTTTGATTAACAAAACACAAGACCGACAAAGTACAAATAATGCTGGTCAACACAATAGGATAAAACGAGAGGAACAAAAGACTGTTGCGAAAAGGCTAGGAAAATAAATACGGAAATTGCCTGTCTCAAAAGGACTAGAAAATCAAATCATGACAAATACCAACCGAGAATAACGCACCAAACTAAATGGCTGTTTAGAATAAAATGCAGAGCAATAAACAAGGAACGCTTGAGCAAGGTGAAGTATCCGATAGTCAGTTGTCGGCTTGAGAGTACTTAATAGCTTGATTGCGATACAAGAAAAGAGCGGAACACCTCGTCCACCTCCTGAAGGGAAACTGAATCATGACAAATTCAAATTCCAAGAAAGTGAAATTAGATATGGGTCAATTTGAAATTGAAAGCAGTAGATCGGTAGAAATCAGACATAAGTGCTCAATCAAAATTGGCCACTGCAGTACAGGTCTGATTGCTAGTGATATTTGTCAGGGCTTCATGAAGAATTACATCATGATCTAAGTTAACTGACCAAGAACATTTTTATTTGTGAGTTCTGTATACAAATTAAAAGACAGCCACTTGTGAATGTTACGGTAACTGAATGACTTTGAAAGTTGTGTGATACGGTCTGGAGGAATTTGTCAAGTCCTGGTTTGTCTCCTGGCACCTTCACTCTCTGTTTAATCTCAATTACTGTCTTTGTTATGAATTTGTTTTTTTGTCGGATGAATAATTTTTGCTCCATGTACAGCACTTTGTATATAGCGGTGGTTGTTTTAAAGTGCTCTAGAAATACCATTGAGTTGAGTTGAGAGAAATATCTGAATTGAGGAACTATTTGGTTGATATGCAACCCGCTCGCTGTGAAGAACGTCCCAATTGAGGGTGAACAGAGGTAAAGAAGAAATGCATATTTGGGTGGTAGAAGTGGTTGTGAAGCTGAAAGCTGAGGATTCTTTGGGGAGATCAGATGAGCGCCTCCCATCACAGATGGTCTGCTGATTTAGCATCATAACATCTCCAGAAGGCTGAAAGCTAACTTCTGACACCAAAACCACCGCTAGATTTCCTTTAACTCCATAACTGTGTTTTGACCCTGAGCCTGTTATTTCATTCTTGGTTGTTTTGTTTTGTTTCATTGATTCCTCTGTAACATTACTGAAAACTTTTTAGTGTTCGTAGCTTGATGCAAGAGTAATATTTTTGAGGCAGGGTTTGTTTTGGAATGCAATTTTTTTTTTTTTTAAAGGTTTAGTTATAATAATTTCTCACTGAACCCAAACAAAATTCATTCAAGGGTTTTACTTGACTCTTGATATCCAACATCTCATTAATTGTAATTATTTATCCATAATCCTATGCTGCCAATATCATAGAAACAGTTTAATAGGGGCAATTTTCTGTGCCAGGCTGGTTCTGCCCCAGTACGGAAAGGCATGATTGGATGAGTTTCTTGTGGAAGAACTTGAAAGCACACCTTTAGAATGACCTAGTACATCGCATAAAAAAACAAAAGCTGAGCGGTAAATCTCCATATTATCAGTTAGGAACTTCTCAACATATATATTTTTTCATGTTGTGCATGCTGGAGTCTTGGTTGCCAAACATCCTGCTTGATTATTCCCATTCTAGTTCATTCCTGCCCACTGTCGTCGTTGTCTGTTGTAAAAAGAAAGAAAAAAAAAAAACCCAAAAATGACGTAGCTAATGATCAGTTCCGCTCAATTACCGTAGGGTGACGTCATCAACATTTCAACATGCATTCCATGAAATCCCATGACAACTGCTAGATGTGGCTCAATGAATCAATTAATTGACACTCACAAATTCCATCTGTTCTCATATAAGATGAAATGTGAAAAACATTTGGAACATTTGTCTGTCTTTAAATGTTCTTACTCTATGGTGTTCCCTCACTTTTCACGGGAGATATGGTCCAAGCACCTCTGCAGAAGGTGAATTTTCACAAAGTAGGGGTTGAGTTTCAACAATTTTTTGGGGTATTTATTTTTTATTTTATTTTAGGGGGTTGGGGCGGGGGCGCGCTCAGGGGGCACTCTCGACACTCCAAATAGTCAGGCAGGCAGTCCAGATGGAAACAGTTCAATTGATTGGTTTCGAACATAGGCTGCGTTCAGAAATTAATGAGAGGGGAGCGTGCTCTGCAGTGCACTGGCGGCAAAGTGAATTTCCGATGCTGTGACCCTCATGTTCATGAGCTCGGTTTGAACACAAATCACATAAAACAGATTTCCCCTTAAAAATCAATCAATCCCCATTTCTTGACCAGTCTAACTCAGAAGGAAGAAAATGGCAAGAATCCGGAAAAATCCGGAAAGTAGCAAGGTAAAACCACGACTTAGCGAGGGAACACTGTACCTCAAAACCAAACATTGTGAGAGACATCTCAATGGAACCAAGTCTGCGGTTACTCTTACATCATACACTATATTGTCAGTTGTTTACCAGGGCCTGAATGAATTAGTGCCTATGACATTTCTGTTACACACGTTCCCTCCAGTAGCTACAGACTGTACCCTTGACAAAGATGACTTTGCTTGTGACAATGTATATTGCTGTCAATAAGGTCTTCACTCATGGAGAAACTTAGCATGTGGTCTTCTGCATGGTTCGGTATGTTTCACTCTTGACAATGGTTGATTTGACAACGCTGACCTCCTTGCGAGGTGCACAAAACATATAGATTTATATTGCATGCTTTTCTGTTTATAGGCATCATCTATTTGCAGCTGTCAGACCAACCAGGTGCTCGTACCAGGGCGCAGTGACAGCACCCCTGCTCCCCTACCAAAGGTCCTCACGTTCACAGCTGCAGGGATATGACAGGAGAAGGTGGGGGGTATTGGTAGGATTTATCGAAGTGTTTATGTGCCCCTCCCACAGCCCCCCTCTCAGTCAAAATGCATTGGGAGCTTTTTATGAAGAGTGAGTTTTAAGCCATCGGACATTTTTAGTCTGATTACAGCCGGAGACATAATGTGTTTACACCGAGACGGTGCAGACAGGATTATGGTACGGCCGAGTGCCATGAACGGATTAAAAAGCTCAAGATCTTCAGTGACACCAACATGACCTGTACAGATGTGGAGAGCTCTAACGGGTCATGAAATCAATGTAATCAACCTATGAAGTGGTATTATCACCCCAACTGTAATGTCTTTATGATAATGACATATTTTGTTTAGTTTTCTTTATTGTGATGTTTTGATGAGGCTATTTAGATTTTTGAGAATGGATAAAATATGGAGTTTGGTCTCTCTCTCAGTTCCCTTGATATTTCAGCTTGTTTGTTTGTAATATGATGTAAACATTTAGCAGTGGAGAGCAGTGTTATTAAAGTGACAATGAATGTATATTTAGTTTGGATGCAGCTATAGTTTTTTTTAATTCATTTTTTTCTTCAATGAAGTGTTGGATGGTAGGATAATCTAAAAATATGTTGAAGTTTGGGTGATCATAAAAGCAGTTCCCAGGCGGGATGTGTGATAACAATTAAGGAGTTACCAAAAATTGCTTATTTACTATCACATTTTTCCTTTGGTCTATTTTTTTTTGTACAAGTTGACCTATTTCTTCTTCAAATTTATAGTGGATGTGAGAATCTAAATAGTTTGTAGTTATGCGATGATGGCGATGCTGCTGCTGCTGCTTGCTGCTAATGATGATGGAAATTGCTGATAATGCAATACTGTAGTCTGTTTGACTTGGTGAGAGGTTCTTGTTTTCCAGCTGACAATGCTAATATGATGATGCCAGTACACAAGCGATATCAGTTATGATTTACTGTACATTCTCATCTAACTATGTACGGGCCACTTGAATGAAGGTACAGTATTCTCAACTGTGCCTCATTTTAAAAAAATCAAAGCAACTATAGCAGTACAGCTGAGCTGAAGCTTCCACATTGCACTGTCCCCTTCAAGTGAGTTCTGTTTGATGTTGCACAGATCTGCTGCAGAACTGCCTTTGAACCACTTTGAAACTGCAATGGATTACTGTAACGGATATTTGAGTGAAATCTCTGTGGGATTGCTTGTACTACTGTGCGAAAAAAAGCATCCGGATGTTCTCGAGGTACCAGAAAACTGACACATAATTTGTTTGAGGACCAATTAAGAGCAGTGCCATGGGCGCTCATGTTTTTTTTTTTTTTTTTTTAGATGTACAAAGTGCATTGCAATGGCAGAGCCTTGCTCTGCATAATTGTACACATGCCGTTGTTAGGGACTGATAAAGGTTGACATTTCTGGATGCGCTTAATTTTTAAAATATGTTTGTTTTGTGTCTACTCCGCGAAAAGAGTCAGTGTAAGTTCAATGAAGAGTCAGCGGAAGCGGGGAAGTTCATGTGTGTCTCCTCTTAAATCCGGCTTGCGGTGTATTGAGGTATGCCTGGGTGCAAATTGAACCTGTGTGTGTGTGTGTGTGTGTGTGTGTGTGTGTGTGGGGTGGGTGTGTGTGGGTGTGTGTGTGTGTGGGTGTGTGTGTGTGTGTGTGTGTGTGTGTGTGTGTTTTCCAGGATCACATCTGTCTGAGGTGCTCTGCCAATCTCTGTTCTGAAACCTAAGTTGACCAAGGGAATGCATTTTGGATGATTCAGTCCCGGGACTACAGAGGACACAAGGTTAGGTCAATAAGACAAAATGATTCACGCGCCCCCCCCCCCCCCCCCCGAATGAAGCCATTTTCCATATCTATCTATCTATCTATCTATCGATTGATCGATCGATCGATCTAGCTATCCATTTATCTATCTCACACATCTCCCATGAACAGGAAGCTTCCAGGACAGGCAGCTGTTTTGATTCTCCAGTACAGATACTTATATTTCATAATGTGTATGTGAAAGGAATATCGGAGATGCACGACGACACAAACATGATATAGAAGTCACAGTACTCAGAATCAAACTTATTTCAGTCGGTATAAATGTGACTTCGGTCTCACTAAAGGTCTCCCTGTAGGACTTTGTGACACGTCAGAGTTTCCTCAGTAATGACATATAACCGTGGATTCTAGTTTTCACTTGCATTGGATTTCCTTTGACTGTTTATGTGTACCCAGTATTGTAGCTTGGGGTGCGCCTAAATATTGTTTAAAGTGGATGAGAAAGCAATAAAGGAATACCGGACAGAAACGAGACTCTATATAACAAAGATTTACGAAGGTGCTTCACAAGTTGTCAGACTTTGGAGAGATATAAACAACCTCTCCCGGCAAGTGAGGGCTGGAAGTGAGTCATCATTTTCACCAGAGCTCACCTGAAGATGCGTCGGGCACATATTCTATTTTGTACTGAGCCTTTAATTTTAAGGTAAATTAGCCTAGCGTGGCCGCTACACTACACAAAAGGGCGACTCAAAAAAGTCCTTACACTTTAAAACCATATAAGGTTAAACTGGAGAAGGGTGTTCTGTCATTTAATCCCTCCATTCATCTTGCATTAACCACACATCAAATGTGGATCAGGGTGATGGTTTTGGATTTTTCATTGCTTTAAATTCAGGCAGTTTTAATCAGTTTTAATTTTTTTGGAGAAATGCTTAATTTTTCTGGCTTTTCTATTAGTTTTTGTATTGCCGGTAGTTTTAGGGTTTTTTTTTCAGTTAGATGTAGTATTTGTCAAGTGCAAAAAAACCAAATATTGCATAAATTGCAACTCTCAGGCGACCATAAGACCTTCCTTATTCTGTACCGACAGTCAACAATACGGAAATAAATACATTTAAATTTAACCCTGAAATCTCATGTATGATTAAATGACAAAGAGCATTTTCACTATCATCGAAGTTAGTTTGAGATTGTTTGTAAATGTGACATGTAGATTCACTTGGTTTTACTTTTTCAAAAAATACTTTACAATTTTACTTTTAGTTATTTCATTTGTTTTCACCTACCACACTGACTTGTATGTGCTCAACTGAAAATTAAGATCAGCTATATGATATCCTAACGGCCAAGTGTGGTCCAATAGGCCAACTCATGTCCAAGGTAGGTTGTCCATGTATTTGCAGTCCTTGCCACCGCAGGCTGGGTGATTTTCGAGCCAAAACCGCATGCTTTAATCCACCAACTCTGTCCTCGTATTTCCCTTGGAGGACAGCCAAATCCTTGTTTACCCCATACCCTCATCTGTTGCCACATTAGGCTTGTCTCTCAACCGGGGCCCTGACTCTCTGCAATTAAATTAATATGATACCTTTTGCTCGCACAGTGCAGATATATCATTCCAGATGTCACTGATTTGGTCTGACGGTGTCAGAGGGCACAGATGTGCACACATGATGCCGGTCTGGCCAGCCATTCTTGATCTTTCCAATGGCTTTTTTTTTTTTTTTGCTCCTAGTCATCAGATAAATAATTGTAACACATTGGATTTTGAACATAACACTTTTACTTGTGCCACCTTCACATTTTTTTTGTTTCAAAGTGCACTTGAGCTGAACATTGCTCATAATTTGTATCACCTTGTGTCCAAATTGGCTTCATTTGGTGTCAAAAGGTTACTGACGCTGTAATTTATGAGCTTCCTGCAATCCCACTCGAATTGTTCTTTTGCTTGTTGAGTAGGCTAGTGGAATGCACAAAAGATGCTGTAAAATCTAATTTGATCTGGACATGCATGACAGCCAATCACCTAATTTTGAGCCTTTGTGTTCGAAGAGCTTTGAACCTCAAGTCTGTTTACTTCCCCTACTTCTGTTCAAGTCGAGGGTAAACTTCTTTCTCTTCGGTCTATTTCTGATTTCTGGTTTGTTGCTCCCAAACTTTTCTCGAGTTTTCCGCCTCCCAACATTTCCCTGCTATTGTTTCCTTCCTGCTTGCACTCATTTTTGTCTTTCGGGATTTTGTTCCGACGCTTACATACATAGCTTGCATTCCCTGTCCAGTATCTTACAATCCTTTTACTAAATCAAACAATGTTTATATTCATATAATGAAACCAAAAACAGGAAAGGGCGATACATTTATTCATGTTGATTCACAAATGACGAGCATCCAATTGATTTCCCCTCTGGGGATCAATAAAGGATTATTTTATCCGATAAGCAATTAGCCTACCCAAACATGTTTTGCTTTTTTCTCTTATGGTTAATACAGCATAGCTCTTATACGTCTTTAAGGTATTTTAAAATCCTAAAATAAATAATTATTATTGAGTAAGGCGTGGTGAGATGTGATGCGATTATTTCGGTTGCCCAATGAAGCGAGCCGGCTCGAATTTGGGATTCAACAAAGATGAATTCCCATTTGGAATTTCTCTTTGCTGCTGAAAATGGTAAAATCTCACAAGCCCATAAAAGTTGGAGAGGGTCCGTATTATGTTCACAATTTTATGACCTGTCATAAATTTATTCCTGCACTGTTCCTCTCCTACCAGTATTAAATACACTAGTAGTGTGTGCGGCCTCAAATGATCATAAATTGCCACTGAATTGAGCTAAAGTTGCCATTATGGAGTATGAAAATTTCATAGAAACAGCCACTGAAATGATAATGCGCATCAGAAACTCCGCAGATTCCTCTTCCGCGAGTCTTGTAAATGCAAATAGATCTCTTTTTTTTGCTGATATCTCTCGACTTTGATTCAGGGAACTGAATCTGCTCTTATTTTTGCATCGTAAATTGAATAAGGACACCCACTTTCATGCAGGGAAGCCAGACAAATGTTTATGTGATGTTTGAAAGGCTGAGCTGTTTTCATTCGATGTTATGCATGTTTGTATTTGGCGTTCATATGTTTTCTGCATGCGCTTGTCTGTATTTTCTCCGCTTCTTGACAACCTGGAGCATAAACATCCATGGTAAGTTGATTGTAGACCAAATGGCCGTTTGTCTACGCGTGCCCTTGTATGCTGTGTCTCACCCAAAAGTCATTTGTCATCAGCTCCATATGCAGCTCACCCGTAACCCATCATGAGGCGATATAGAAAATGGAAGGATGTATGATAAGTACAACCAGAAAAAGAAAAAAAGAAAATCAACTTTGGGTTCTTAAGTGTCGGCGCATTGAACTTGTCGTCGCTGCAAAAGACTGCACTTGGCTCATTGGTCTGGCTGTGGTTTGAGAAAGCTTGTTTAATTACCGCCCCTGTTTTTAGGCTGCAGGCCCATCGAGCGGCTCCTGGTTTCAAGGATCATTTGTCACGCCCTGAGAAAAGTCTCTTCTCTATTAAGTGCACTGTCTTTCACCTCCTGTCTTTCCATTCATCACTGGCCTTCTACGGTTTCTTTGAAACACTTTCAGATTCGTAATTTGTTTGTCATTTGCTCCAGTAATTTCGTTTCAACTGTTTTTTTTTTTTTTAAACTAATGCCAAGTGCCAG